CAAACAGTAGTGGAACTCTATCAACTAGGTGTGGTCTCGTGGTTTTTCCCCTTTCAGGGTTTTCAACGTAAAAATTATGGTGTCTTTATTTCTCTCCTATTTGTGTGTTGGATATCCGTACAACACTGAGTCGGAAACTTTCTAACTCTATTTCCGTATATGTTCTAGCCCGCAACAAAAATATTTAGAGTGCAAGGCCTGCTTTATTTTTAACAGGCAACAAAGCTCTCTAACTTTAACATTCTGAAAAACAAATAACACAGCGTCACCACAATTGTAGCAGAAAGCCTTAGATTTTTGTGAGCCCAAAGGATATCAAGATAAAAGTAATAGGGATATGTACATAACTATAAGTACATCCACTAAATTTAAAAGTTTGTGAGGCTAATAAAGCTCCCAGCTATATGGACTCAGAATATCTCAACAAATTCTCTCTTATTGCCACAATGACCTTCTAAGGGAGCAAAACAAATCCATTGAGGTGGCAACTGGCGACTAGGCAGGCCTTCGTTTGGGATAATTTTCTTATTATTTTATAAAGCATTAAGAAAGCTCTCCCAAATGAAGCCTAGGTGGTCGCACTATCTGACAGCAAAAGGAGGCAAGAGGTGGGAAGCGATGAATCGGGTACGAAGATTGCCAAAGATGTTATCGAAGATTTTTTTTTTTTTATGATGAGGAAGCACTGTCATTAGGCTAGTGAAAACCCCGGTCGACCTAACATGCAACTCACATCAATTAACACGGGCCAACACTTAAGGATCTTACTGCTTGCCAAGGGATTCGAACCAGAGATCTGGGCTTTGCCCAGCCGGCCGCTCTTCACCACCCGGACAAACAGTGGTAGGTTTATCGAAGATTATCAAATAGGGGTTGACCAAAGTAAGATCTGATAAATAATCAAGGAGCATGAGTAAAGTTGTCGGAACAGTCAGAAGAGAGAAACATCAATAGATTTATTAAAGTTTTACTACGGATGATGATGACATCCAGATGGAATAAATATATTTTCTATTGTTAAGCAGAGACAAGCTTGAAATTTTTTTTTTTTTTTTTCATCTAGATAATAGCAAATCAACATTGTTGACCATGGTAAGGTGAAGATTTAGATTTAAAGCTGATTCAAAACAGAAACAAATATTATTTTTAGGGAGAAATATTCCTCATCCTGAGAGCAATTCAATTTTATAGCTAACTTGCAATCTTATTTTCTCGTAGTAGTCATAATGGTTTTCAAAAGTGTCAATCTTCAAGTACTGTTCTCCGATGAATAATGTTCATGCAATTACGTTATGGAACAAATCGAGACTGCTTGCAACGAGAAGCAACCATTTAAGGGTCACAACCAATTGATCGAGTCATGATCGAAGGCTGTCATAAAGTACAAGTCCTTAAGAGAACAGAAGCTCGTTAAAAAGTAGAACATTTGAAAGAAAACCTAATGAGCTCGAAATCCTATCGATTACAAAGAAATAAGATCGCAACAAAAACCAAACTAATGACAGGAAAAACTCCAAAATAGAAAATCAGGAAGCAGCACAATCAGAGTTGCCAGTCCAAACAGCACAACCATCAGCTACGCAACAGAGCAGAAATCAGAATCCTGAATAAAAGCTTCCAAGGACAAAAAATATGCCATTTAAGGCAAACTCACACACACAACGCATACACATGGACTCGAACATTGGACCTCTTAGTTGGAAGCCTAAGCTCTCAACCAATAGGCCAAGGGGAGTTGTGTATGACACATTAACTTAATACCTCTATAATTCGCACAATGTTGTGCATCACCTTTATTTTTAAAAAATAGGGATTAACATACTCATTCTCCACTCATCTGGTATCTTTTTAGTCTTCAAAATAGAAAAAACTCCAAAATAGAAAATCAGGAAGCAGCACAATCAGAGTTGCCAGTCCAAACAGCACAACCATCAGCTACGCAACAGAGCAGAAATCAGAATCCTGAATAAAAGCTTCAAGGACAAAAAATACCTGCAAGAAGTCAAAAATAAAGACGCAAACAGCATGTGGTTCAAGCAAGCCATGATAAAAAAGGAGCATGGCCAACTAACCATCTATGAATCAGGCCAAACTAAACTAGTTCAACTAGGTTCTGATGATTATAAAATTAAATGATCTCAAAATCAAATCATTTTAGATTTCGTTTGGGACTTTTTTTATCACTATTTTTTCTTATCTTCAAAAAAAATTATATTAAAAAATAAATTTAGAAAGTAATAAAAAAATTATCCCAAAACAAATTTTAACCTCATTGAAAGCATTTCCTTTATTAAAAAAAGTACTGAAATCAAAATCCCAATAGCTTAAAAAAAATCAATTCTTAATTCAATTTCAAAAGATTTTTGGATTTTGAAACTCACACATAAAATTATAACTATTTTGCAATATAAAAATTAATCCAAAATTATTTTTCATTCTTTATATATATAACAATATTTTCTCTTAGAAATTTAAACTGAGAGAAAAAAAGTTATTCTTCTAAGAGCAGAATAAATTAATATCAATTTTCACATATTCTTATTCCTCAATTAAAAAATCAATACCCATCGTTGTCTCTCTCTTTACATGTTATTACGTTCTCTACGGCACCAGATTAAAAGAACTGCATCGGTGTAACTTTTTTATCCATGTCTTCAGTCCTTTCCTTTTCATGTACGAGTCATCATCAACCAATTTAATTAATTCTCTAATTTTATAATTATTAAACCACTTTTGCTTACGTATCCATTAGTAGAAAACTCTGGTTCTCTAATTTCATTAGATGCTTTCGTCCCGGAGACTGAAAATTTGAACGGAGTAACTAAAATCAGCTCGGTAACGAAAGGGGGAAAAAAATCTTAATGAGACCAAATGCATTGAAGCTAGGGGCGTCAATTTTGGGTCACGGGTCGGATTCGGGTCGAATCCGGAACTGACCCGGGTTCAAACGGGTCGACCCTAATCCGACCCGGGTAGATAAACGGGTCGGAAATCTGAACCCGGACCTGACCCATCAGTTTGCCGGGTTGACCCGACACGGGACCCGAAACGCGCGGACAAGCGCGGGCGAGTGTTGGTGCAAGCAGGCAGCCTCAGGAGCAGGGCACCGGCACTAGCAGGCGCGGCAGCGTGCGCTGGCAGGCTTTGTCGCGAGAGCAGCTGAGCTGGGTAGGCGGGGCAGCTTCGCAGGCAGGCGAGGCAGCAGCGGGCGGTCCGCGGGCAGGCAGGGCAGCTTCACATGCAGGCGGGGCAGCCCAGGCAGTTCAAGTTAAACGTGTTCGTGGGTTGACCCGACAACCCGCCGGTTCAACCCGAACCCAACCCGTTTTTCAAACGAGTCAAATTCGGGAACTCGAACCCGACCCGTTTTGAAATCGGGTCGGGTCCAACCCGAATTTTCCGGGTCGGATTTTCGTGTCGTGTCAAATATTGACACCCCTAATTGAAGGGGTGAAACAAAATATAAATGGAAAATTCTTATGACGACTATATATGTATTATATATGGGAAAATATTCTGATTGATGTAATTCATATTAAGAAGAAATAAAATGCCTTGAATTTACACTGAATTGGTGCTTGGAAAATGGCAATGAGCATAAATGTAATAACATTCTGAGTGTAGGGGTGTCAAAACAGGTTGATATATCAAGATTGTGCTCGATCTGAAATTGATATGACACTAACTAGTTAACCCAAACTTAACATATTTAATACGTCAAAAATTAACCTGCACTCGACTCACTAGCAATTTGAATGATTCGAATTTGATCAGTTAGCTCATTTTAGTTTTTTTTTTTTTACTTATTATAAATAAATTTATGATATTTGATAAAGATAAGAAGATTATACTTATAATAAAAAAAATTTAAAATACATAAAAAATGAACTAGATGGTGAATTTCAAATATACCAAAATTTTATACTAAATTTAGTTCACTTCAAACGAAACATAAAAATTCTTCAAATCCTTGTATTTGGAACACCTCACAATACTTTTACTTCGAACCAAAAAGCCATTAGTTCTTAAAATTGTTTATTTTATTTTAAAATGAATGCAATCTATAATTACTTAATTAATTGTTATTATATTTATATAAAATAAAATTTTAAAATTATAAATTCATTATCATCAAATTGATTGAGAACATCCTCGCCTATTTTATTTTCATATAATGCTATTTTGAAATAGCCAATTTGCCTAAAGTTATAAAATAAAAAAATTATATATATATATATATATATATATATACAATTTTGATAAAAAAAGACTTGATGTTTACGTCCCTTTGTACCAAAGATTTTATTTATATACATTAAGTAATTATTTTTTTCTGAAAATCCTAAAATATATTAGACAAGGAGGCCATGGTCATAATTTAATAAGAATACATTTTAATGTTATTTAAATTAATATAATCTATGAATTATACATTAGTTTTAAATTATACATATATACATCACACAACATAAAAAAAAATTATGATCTATTCAAATTGATCAAATTTTAATCACTATTATCATGACTGTATTTGTCCGGTCATAACCCAACCACTTAAGTCGTCCAGCTCCTCCGCGAGAGTAGTCTTGAGCTGCCTTTCCCAGTTCCAAAGTCAGAATATTTTGCTTCCTCCCCGTCTGATTTTATTTTATTTTTATGAGGAAGCACTGTTCTTAAGCCAATGAAACTCCGGTCAACCTAACATGTAAACCACACCAATTTACACAGGCCAATACTTAAGGCTTTCAGTGCTTGCCAAGAGATTCGAACCAGGGACCTGGGCTTTGCCCAACCGGCTCTTCGCCACCCAGACAAGCAGCAGTGGTTCTCGTCGTCTGCTCAATCAACTAGTACAACACTGTAATTAAAAGACGAGAAAGCACTGTCCTTAAGCAACTAAAAACTCCGATCGACCTAACATACAACACACACCAATTTATACGAATCAACACTCAAGACTTCAAAACCAAGGCATATTTAGATCCCCCGAAAGGAAATCCTTCAGCCCACTGCTCTCTCTCTCTCACCTTTTTTTCAGTGCGGAAGTAAACCAACCATGTGCTGAGATCCACAGTCTTTAAACCCTTTAAAGCCAAACCACTTTCCTCCCCGGTACCCCTCTTCTAGAATGATAGCCTCCCGCTAGCATCTCTCTCTCTTCTCCCTTCTCTCTTCTCTCTTCTCTCTCCTCTCTCCATGGATCAATACTCCAGCAACACCAGCACCATCCCGTCCTCCTCCTCTACATCTCCTCATCTACCTCTCTTCCTCGAATCCCTCCCCTTCCTCTCCCCCTCCTCTCTCCTCCCCTTCGATCCCTCCCACCCCCTTCTCCCTCCTCCCCCTGCCTCACCCGCCCCTACTCGCACCTCCAAGAAACGCTCCCGCGCCTCCCGCCGCGCCCCAACCACAGTCCTCACCACCGACACATCCAACTTCCGCGCCATGGTTCAAGAGTTCACCGGCATCCCCTCTCCTCCTTTCTCCTCCACCTCCTCCTCCTCCTCCTCCTCCCTCCTCTCTCTCCCCACCCGCTCCCATCACCACTTCTCCCCTCCTTTTCTCATCCGCCCCTTTTCCCACAAGCACCAAACAACCACCACACCAGACACCCTTCCTATTCCTCCCGTACTGTCCTCAACCTCAAACACCTTTCTTCAATCTCTCATCAACACACAGCCTGTCTTCGCCGCAAAGCCTCCTCATCCTTCACCACCAGCCTTCGCCATGGCTGGACGTGAGGAGCTCCAACAGTCTCACCAGGGAACTACTTTGTTTGATTCCTGGATTTGTTCTTCAGATTACAAATAGGATCAGTGACAGAGATCGCATATGAAGATACATATTCGCGCGATGGTATAGAGGGGACGATGAGGAAAAGTCGATCGGTTTGTGGTACTGATAGCTTTCAACTCTGTGCTTGAAAAAGAAGCGTGTATCACTTTTCTCTTGCTCCCCTCTTTTTCTTATCTATGTAAATATATGCTGGTTTCTTGTTTTATCCATGTTCTGCTCTGTGAATTTATGCGAATAATCGTAGAAAAGTTTATGAGAATTCCATATGCCTGCCCTTCCTGGTTTAGCTTCCAGCTTTATCATTTATTTTTTTTTTTTTTTTTTGGGACATTTAGGCCATTTAAGGCAAACTCACACACACAACGCATACACATGGACTGGAACCTTGGACCTCTTAGTTGGAAGCCTAAGCTCTCAACCAATAGGCCAAGAAGAGTTGTGTGCTTTATCATTTATGAAACAAGATATTTTTAACTGCTATCGTTAATTTACATTATAAAAAATTTGTAATGTTACTCCATTGTTATATTTTTATTCTTCTTTCATATTTAATATGCTATTAGAGTATTAGAAAGATAGGTTGAAAAATGAAAATATTTTATTGTTTTAAGCTGTTTTTTTTTTTCTATTTTTGTTGTTAAAGTTATTTTTCTTTCGTAGTTATTATTATTATTTTTTAAAAAGTACTTTTAAGGTGAATTTTTTTAAAAAAAATGTGAAAATGTTATCATCTGAATAATAATATTATTTTTATTTGCTATTTTTTTAAAAATTATTTTGAATGAATCAAAGACATAATTGGATAGAAAAAATAAAAGTGTTATGTTTATTATGTTCAAACATTAATATATCAAGTCAAAATATAATTTATTTCTACTATAAATTTGTATTTTTTTTTGTGTTGACTGGATGTTATGTTTTTTTGGGTTAAGCAATACTAAAGATAATAATAATAATAATAATTATTTTTTTTTAAAAAAAAAAAAGCAATACTAAAGATGAAATAGTTAAGGAAAACAATTTTCTAGTCTTTATCAATAACTAACGTTCAGAGTCAAATGATGTTGTTATTCCACTATTGGATCAAAATTCAATGTTATTGGTGTCATCGTTGCTTTCAATACCATAGAGTTTTAATCCAACGGTTGAAAAAATCAACATGTGATGTGACTTTGTTTGTGTGTTAAATTATTTAAAGAAAATTATTTTCTCATTGCCCTCTCTGTTAAAATATTTTCAATTACATTATTTTCTTATTTTCTTATTGGAATATATCAATTTTGTATATGTATAACATATCATATTTATGTATTCAAATTTTATTAAATTTATTGGTGTGTTAAGCTATAGTTACTTTTACAATCATCTATATAGTACATGCAATGGCCTCCATCTGTGAGAATTTTTTAGGGCATTGATGTGGCTAGGGCTCGCGTCCTTGTCGCTTTGCTGGTGGCAACCTTTGGTGCTTTTCGTCGTGTTAGTCGATCACTGGGCGCTTCTTTCACCTTATTGGATGGTCCGTGCAAGGCGGTTGGGACGCTGGAAGTCTTTGCCAAATACTGAGCCCAATTTTCAATGTATTTTGTCTTTTTCTTCTCTGGTTTACCATCTGGATGTTGTAACCGTTCTCTCTTTTTTAATAAAATTGTTCTTTAAAAAAAATATATATATGCAATGGCCTCCATAACTTTTTGCACATCACACTTATTCTTATAAAAAATTTTTGTTTATATATTAAATTTATGCGAAATGACAAAAAATAACTTTTCTAAGAAGAACTTATCTTAGACTTCATGCTCACATTGTTCTATTATAACAACATATTTAATATCATCCAATTCAGTAGCTAAAAATGATGAATCATGAGAAATTAAACTTAACTTATATGTATTACTAATTAAATATATTTTCAGTAAAAATTTTTAAGTCTGTGAGTGCATGCTAATTATTTCATATTTTTATATTAATATTTTGCCGCTATATGATATTCGATTAATAATTTTAAGTCTTTTAAGATAGAGTTTATCAAATTAGTCATCGCTCTGTTTCAAATAAAATTTCATAAATATTATACATCAAGAACTCACTCAATCCTAGAAGATTCATGTGTTATTAAACTTGCACAACCATGATTGAATTCACTAAAGGCTCTTAAAAGTAATCATATCTGTCACTAAGGCTAAGTTTAGGACGGTTTTTTTACTGTTTCTTAAAATCGTTTTCAAGTATAAAAATTTTAATTGTTGTACTAAAAAATTATTTTAAGAAGCAGTAAGAAAGCCGTCCTAAACGTTTGGGACGGCTTTCATACTGCTTTGTAAAACAACTTTTTAGTACAAAAATAATTATTTTCTAAAGTTGTTCCAAATGAAGTCTAAGGCTTTGTTTGGGATGTCTTTGTTATTGGTTCTAAAAGCAGCTTTATAATACAAAAAATTTAATTTTTTATTAGAAAAATGCTTTAAAAAGTAGTAAGAAAACCATCTCAAACGAAGCCTAAATCTAAACCAAGCTATCAGCTCAATTGGCATTTATTTGGGAGCTAAATCGTGATCAAAATTGAGTCAAATACATCAGTGATCAAGTTTATTTTCAACCTATAAATTTAAACTTATAAGTAAGAATTAATATATAATATGTGAACGCTAAAAGTTAAAAGAAAAGTTATTTTTAAAATATCATGACTTTAAATTATGATCGCTTGCTTTTATTTAAAAAAAAAACGACATTAATTAAGAGCAAACCATTCAGACAAGTAGCGCCAAATGGCGCAATTAAAGCTCGAGGGAACAATTTTTTTTTCGGTCTACTTGTATTAATTTCCGTGATTTTTGTCTTGTTTGGCTTGATTGGTGCCGCGATTTGGGGTAGCCTATGTTTCTTATAAACCTTTTAGATCACGAGCGCACATACTTCTTTTCATAGTTATATTTAAACCGAATTTTTATATTACAATATATGTGAGAAAAAAGATTCATTTCGTGGAGGAAAAATATTCACATATTTCAAAAGAAGATTTCAACTGCTCCACATGAGGCGCTTTTATTTGGTTCGGTTGACCGGATGTTCCTCTGCATCCGGTCGGAGGACGTAATAACGGCTCCCACATGAGACCTACCAAGACTCAGCTCCAACAAGAAATAAAATGAAGTCAATGATAACACCACCACTGCAAGAAAAGTATTTACTTGTGACTAATAATAAATTAGTATTATGGATGAAACTTTATTTTAATGAAGATTGTCTGACAGATGAATCAGTAGAAAAAATAATAGCAATGTATCTAATTGCAAATATATTTTGGGATCATTTTTTGTAAATTGTAATATTTTGCATTTTAATATGACCACTAATATAGCATAGTAATAGTTCATAGAAAAATATAGTGGTTTGTCTTTTTGCAACCGTAATTATACGAGCGTAGTTGTCAGAGGGACTAATTAACGACTATTAATTATCCTCCCTAATTAATCTAAAGTATAAGATGTGAAAACCCTTAAGTAAATGAAAGCTAAACTCTTAAATATTGATGTGGCTTTTGTGTAATGGTTGGAATTTCTGTAAGAAACTTCACAATTAAGCGTGCTCATCCTGAAGCAATTATGAGATGGATAGTCTACTGGAAAGTTACACCAACAGAACAAAGACGTGAGGCTCTTATGTCAAAGCGGACAATATCTTGATAGTTAAGAGTTTATGATGTTACATGGCATATTATGCAATTGTATCCAGTAGCAATTAATTTCATTTCAAACATGATTATGTAACATTTTGTATGATTATCATCTATAAATACAATATATAAACATATAGTTGCATCATATGTATCATCATACAACAATGATTAAAAAAAAGCATATAATTACATAATTTTATAACAACTTATTTTCAATGACCTACAAATCTCACATCACATTTAAATTTAAGAATGAAGATAAGAAATTAGAAAATAATTTTACAAGCATGCATCATCTCACATCATCATCTTATCATCCATAAATTGCCCTTCACCAATAACAATGCTAAGAGCGTCTTGTTGTCGAAACTCCCTCAATATGGACTACATGAAATCATAAGCTTCATCCCTCCTAATCATGAGTTAAGATGGGGAATAGCAATGAGAGCCTATTTTTCTTTTTTTATTTTAGCCCTCCATATCTACAATATGAAATGTATATTATATGATATTTTCCCAATTGGGGAATAACAATAAGAGCCTTCTAAAAAATTATAAAAACGTGCATCATCATCATTGTCTCAATAGCTCGTCCTTCACCCATTGCAATGCTTTGAGCATCTTGTTGTTGAAAATCCCTTAATGTGGACTAATGAGGTTGAATACTTTGGGATAGCCCATTCCTTTAGGATGTGATGGTTACCAAAAACTATCCTCTAAGTCTTTTACCAATTCTCAATAGCCTAATGTATAATAAGATTATCTAACATACCATCATGTATCCGAAGAGGCTTACATTCGTTTATATCGTCAATATGCTATATGTTGTCTTTCTTGATATCTTTTCTTCTTTACTCTCTTTCTTGTATGTTATTAACGAAAATGAGTTTGCTCCAATTGTTCTTCATGGCTCGTTAATTCCCAAAGTTTTGAATTTATGGTGTAAATTAAATATAGAATACTAATAATTTTTCTTAATCTTTAAATTAATGATATGATATTTTCAATATACCAAGTCTTTATTTAATGCAATTAGTAGTCATATATGTGTAGTTAATATGTAATGTGGAGCCTATGAATATGAAAGCAAGCACAACTAAATATGTTGAATTGGTATGATGCAAGCATAGGCATAATGTTTGTCATCTATCAAATTTATTGAGATGGATTGTCACGAGAGGGTGATTAACAGTACATCATTTACTTAATCTTCTAACATTTATTGAGATTAACAGTACATACTTTACTTAATCTTCTAATATTTTTTTGATAGAGCGAGTGATCGATCAATAAACTCTCCAACTTACGATCAATCATAAAAAATAATTGATTCATGAAAGGCTAGGAATGATTAGGTAGTGAGAGGATTTGTGGGGAAATGGGATGTGATAATGAGTGACATGTGACTCAAGCCCCATGGCAGAGAATAATAGTCGTGCGATGTGCAATGATGATTTTGATTATATGCCCATTCTCTCCCACTTCATACTCATGTGAACGAAGAGGGCTGAGGAACCAGAACCTTTTTCTCCTCTTTGCATAAAAATGCCCTGCAATTTAGAGCCACCCCCCAAATGTTCTTTAAGCATTTAAGCATCTCAAAAGCT